GAAAATAATCGTTTACATTGAAAAACAAAAGTAAGCGGTTGTGTATTCTTCATGACTCTCCCACATTTAACAACTAAAAATATCAATCAAATATATAACAATGCTGATGCTGCATAAGAATGCTGCGCTAAATCCTTTCAAGCTATCGAAACATTTAACTTAAGTGCGAAAGTAGTACGTTTTCCTGTTTCGGTTTCTGTTAGTGTGTGTGTGTGTGTGTGTGCTAATGAGTATGTGTGTTTTAGAGGCCAGTTGCTACTTTTCGACCCGACCACGCTTCAAGTGGGATAACTCAATAAGCCAAGCCTTGATCAAATCATACGTGGAGAAGCTTATGCCTACAGCAATGGGACCCTTGATCCAGTTCATACTCAGGCCCTTATAGAAGCCGTTTTTGACACCCTCCTCACTGTGGAAAGCAAGAGGAAATGAATGAATTTAAGGATTTGAATTATGACTAGGCGTGGCTAACATACCGGTAGATCTTAGCAAGCGTCTCCAGTATCGTGGGAAACTGCTCGGGCGCGTCTGCACTTACACGCATCGTCTGCATGCGCCGACGCACAATATCCAGCGGATAGCTGGCCGTTTGTCCGGCCGCTCCGGCCGCGGCGCCGAAGGCCAGCGAAATGAGAGCATTCGGCTTTGTATTGCCAATAATTTCTGGTGAATTCAAAAGATTATTGTTACAAAAGAACAGACCCACACAATCTAGAAGCATCATTTACCGTGATATTCGCGCTTGAGCGTTTCGTAGGTGAAGAAAGAGGTGCCCGCATAGGGTATAACACCCAACACAGTGGCCCAGTAGCCACGGAACAGCGTTCGTGGTCCCTCCTCGACCCAGATCTTGGCAAACACTTGACGCAGTGTGCGATACCCCGTGTATCTGTCCGTGACCGCCATGCGGGCGCGCGCCAAATCCAAGGGATACGTCAACGATTGCGATGTTATGCCCGCCAGCGACCCGGCCACGAAACGACGTCCCTTGGTGCTGTTTATGAGCAATGGAAATGCACGTGAGATAATTGAAAGATACGCTAATCAAATGGTTTGTTCTCACTTGGTTCCATTCTGATCCACTTGCAGAATACGCCGCCACTGCTCGTGGGATGTGAACTGAATGGCCGCGTACGGCACGATGCGGGCCATCGTCGCCGAGTTGCCGCGCCATAGGGCAAGGACACCCTCCTTGGCATAGGTCTGCTGCAGATAGTTGAGCGATGCCTTGAATGAAAATGGCACATCCTTGCGTATCTGGAAATTGATTTTCGTGCGATCCAGCGGGGCAATTGTTGTTTTGGCTAACGCACCGGCCGCAGCGCCCGATATCAGACTGATGATCACCTCGTTCAGATTGTTGTGCACTGGAAAGGTAGGCGGAAATGGATACATGACTCTTTTAGACAATTTTTGCTTGTGCAGGGTATCTGCTAGTCGAACAGGTCCAACCAAACCTAAGTCGATTTACTTGTTTGTGCATAAAATAGAATTGTCTCGATTTTCTACTCAAATACACTTTCAGTTTATTTCATTTTAGAGAGATTCGTTAAACTTGAATTTTTCTTAAATTGGGAAATTTGTAAATCAACTAGAGCTATGTCGGGCTGTCTAAGATAAATGTTAATCTAGTTTAAAAGTGTACGAATTATAACTGTTTATACCCTGTACCCAATGAAAAGGGGTATGCTGAAATTGTGCAATTGTATGTAACAGTCATGGGGCAAGCAACAGCCAGTATATAAATTCTCGACTATCGAGACGAGCTGATCAGGTCCTTCTGTCCCTCTGCCCAGCTGGAGGACTGCATCCATTTCGGAGAGAGAGAGAGAGATACTTGAAATGTGAGTTCTATTGCATGTGCAATTTGATTGTTTATAATAATCGATCTTTTATCTAGGTTTATCAACTTATATAAATCGATAAGTATCGATACTTATCCTAGCGAGCCTAGACTTTCCCTTCACCATGTTTTCTTTCAAGTTATCGATAGTCGCTTATCGACTTTTAACTGATCGAACTAGAACTAATATTGCATTTTAAGATGATTAATCCCTGTCAGAACATTTTCCATGATTGTTTGCAACATATATTCATTCTATCGGACACTAAGCTCTGAAATGTTGCTTGGTCGCAGAGTACAGGGTATCTACCGGTCGTGACTAAAGCACTATTGCTTGTTTTACCTGTTAATTTCTTAACATTTCTCTTACCATCTGTGGTCTTTGCGCTCTGATTCGTGGACGTCGCCGTCATTTGCGTTCCCGTTGCGCTCTTGTGGCCATCCTCGTCCTCCGCTGGAGCAGCTGTGTCGTCCGCGGCGGCCGCATTGTTGGCCGTGCCGGCGGCAACTGTGCTGGATAATTGACTACCTGTTGATGTAATGGACATGGCAATGTTGGGCTTCTCCAAAAGGCGGCTCATGGCAGACTGTCAGGGTTAAAGGCACAATAAATTTGCATTTTAATTATAAATCCTGGTCAAATGCTTAAGAACTGATATTATCGGCAAATAAAGACCGACAATAGCTCATCAAGGCAGCTAACGTATTAAATTTGATTCCGACGCTTATCAGCTTGAGGTTCAGGCTTCTGTTTCGCTGATAAGATGGGGCAGGGGAGATGGGGCATTGATCTGGACGAGAACTTTCGCAATTGTTTCATAATGGAACAAGCATATTATATATGCATTTATTTTTTTGGCACGCTCTCAAGAGCAATCAATTATATAAATTTTCAATATTGAAGGCATTTTTGTTGTTTAAATGAAAAGAAAAAATATAAGACTAGATAAAAGTGTTTTGTGGAAACTTGGAATTGTACTTTGGTTTGAACTGCTGCCGTTTAAAGAGCGTTAGATTAGGAGTTTTGTGATTAGATTGGGACTCATTAGCAGCTGGTTTAGTTTAGGCTTTAGCTAAATTTATTTTGTTATTTACAACAAAATTGTGAGACAAACAAAAGGCGCACACACGCCAGACTTAAATGTATTTATTTAATATAGAAAAAGAAAAATAGAAAACCTGTTGTTGACACTGAATGTAAACAGCCGAGCAATAGCAACAAATTATCACCAAAAAATAATAATAACAAGCATGTGCTGCATAAGCACAGACACCGCCACATATATATAGACACATACATACGTACGTGTGCACATAAATAGATACACATTCAAAAAAAAAGCAAAGCGCCTCTTTTGACTTCCGCATTTGCGATTTTCAATTGAGTTCCCAGCAAGTGAATAGTTTTACCTTGAACAGGTTTCAGCATTGGGCAGATACGGGCCTAGGCCGTGATAAAAAAAGAAACTATCTCTCGTGATAAGATAAGACGCGGATAACTGCGACCAGACCAACAGCCTAGTGATAAGCAGATCCCGAGTTGATTAAGCTGGCATATAATATGGCCTATTCCTTAGAAAGTAAAGCTTTGCGGGCTTTCAAGTCAAATTTCACATTCAAGTCAAGTTTTCTTTTTAGTTGCGTTTGTAAGCAGTTCTTTTTTTCATGCCTGAAGTGTGCATTTTTCACATACTAAAAGCCAAGTAAATGGAGCTTGACGAGCTTTCCTTCTGTTAGGTACAACAAGTGATATTTTATTTATTTGATTTTATCTATTTCCAGCCACAGTAGTCACTCGCATATAAGCAACATTCAGAGTTAACTCAAACATTTCAATATTATCTATCTTCTGCAAAATCTTGAATAAATGTAATGCATATATTAAGTATTTACGCTCTTGAATTTCTGTATTAAAACCAGTTCGTAAATTATTAATCTTAATTTTAATAAATGGCATACATTTATTTGAGGAAAACTTTGAAAATTCTATATTTAAAACTTTTTATAAATAGAAAACAATTTCTCAAAAACATTCATTTCAAAAACATTCTTATTTCTGAACAATTTGAGTTGCAGAAAACACACACCAGAATTATCCTGTACACCTGCAAATCAATTACGTCCCACTGTGTACTGGATGCTGCTAGGAGGAGGGGGAGGGTGGGCGGATTTGCATTGCAGCCGGCAAATGTAAACAAGTTCGTTAAACGTTATTTGTTGTTTGGCATTGAGTCAAGGCTGTTGCTTATCCGTGCATGTGTGTGTGCATGCATATATGTATGTACATGTGCAAGTGTGCGTTTGAGTGCGTTTATAAATAGATTCACTCATATTAGGTTTGCCTAATAGGAAGCATGTGGCAATAACAGCTTTGATTCTGATTGGCATGGACTTTGCACCCGGCTCAGTTTGCTGGCAAACGTATGCAAATGCGTATGCGTAATATCTATATATGCAATAAATTCGAATCATAGAAACACTTGGCTTTTTTAGATTACTGCGTTTCAATTTATTGCTCGCCTTTTACGTTATTTGGCAATTCAATGTAATGCAATTCTGATTGGGACTAGCTGGCCACACAACAGAGCACAGAAAACAGCTGTTGCTTAACTGTGCTTCACTTTCTGCACACTTGTGTGCCAACCCCCGCAGCCCGCAGCCCACATTAGCCCATTACCACATCCAATTGGAGTACAATTCATGCGTTCTGTTTTGATTTTGTTCGCCTATTTATCACGTTTTCTGTTGCCCACACGCACACACTCGCGCAAGCCTATTATATAATTGGCCAAATTTAGACAGCATTAAATTATGCTGCCAAGACAGCGACGATAACGCACCTTTGTTTTTGTTGTTAACACAGATTATTTGCGTATTTGCTTCTGGCATGCAGCAACAAAAACAACAACGCAGTCGTTTTGCAGCGCACGCACATGCACCTACTAGCTGTGGCTGGCAATTCTGGGCGCCACGCTCATTTATTTTGCTTTAATTCACAACACGTAATTGTTATTATTTAATACATAATAATCATTTGCAGCGCGGCTTTGTCTTTCCGTCTATTCTGACCATTTGACAAAAACATCGAGAACTGTATGAGCACCAGGGCTGCATCGCTAGCGTATTAACGAGCGTTGCCACATTGCTGAAATAGTGTTGCATTTGGCCTCTGGTAGCAGAGCACGGCTGCAGCCAACTTCACGCGAGACGCACTTGGAGCAAAACAGCAAAGTATCAAAGCATAAAAATATATAAAAACAATGAATGTATCGAATTTAAATGACTTGCGATCCTATTCTCGACACTGGCTTACCGAATTCATCGAACAGTACCAGGAGGAGGAGTGCTTGTGGCAGCCAAAGCATCATGACTACAGCAATCACGCCGCCAGAAATAAAGCGTACGACAAACTGGTCGAAAAACTAAAAGAAGTTGAGCCAAATCCAGATCGCGCCATGGTCGTTAGGAAAATCAACTCACTGCGCTCGGCATTTCGACGCGAGTTTCGCAAATCCAGCAGCAAAAGCGACTACGAGACGCGTCTCTGGTACTACGACAAACTGCTCTTTATAGCCGATCACAAGCCCAAACGGCACTCGAACGAATTGGCTGGCAAGCCCAAGCGCGAGCTGCACATCAATTTCGATGACGAGGACTCCATGGATTTCGAGGAGGAATCGCATCATACACCACAGTCACAGCACATTGAGACAATTGTGCCCAACCCAAACGACGAAGTCGAGGAGGTGACCGCCACCAACAATGTGGTGGTCAGTAGTCAGGGCGCCACGCTAAGCACCATATCAGTAACGCCGGCAGATTGTGTGACCTTGGTGAAGGATGAGACCCATCAGGCACACAATGAAGTAGCCGAGGCGCATCAGCGTCTAGTCGCACAAGCCACAGCCGCACAGAGCTCCCTGGCCGCAGCTGCGGCTGGCGGGCATGCGGTCAAAGTGCTTGAGATTACATCGCTGGACTCGAATTCGCAGCGTGAGATACAACAGGTGAGTCTGGGCACATGGCCGGCCACTAGCACAGATTGCATAGTAAAACTTCCGTCTTGCAGGCTGTCAACTCGCTCGAGCACCACCAGCAGCAACTGCAGCATCTGCACCATCAGGCTAACGGGCATGGACAGCCCGTGCCGACCATTCAGATTGGACGCGACCATTACCAGCCGCTGTTTGGCAATGCAGCGACCACCGCGTATACCACCGCCGCGCCCGCCACGTCGCATCGTCACGAGGATGAGTACGATGCGATTGGCGTGAATGTGGCCAGTAAATTGCGTTCTATTAATCACACGCAGCGCATAATTGCCGAGAAGCTCATCAGCGATGTCCTCTTCAATGCGCAGCTCGACAATCTCACCGTCAATTCCTCGTTGACGCAATAATTTATAATTTAAATTAGGTCTAGATGTGTGTGTATGTAAACGAAAACTCAAGCATTCGCTTCATGCATGCAGAGTTTATTTTACATAAGCATATATGTATGTATTTACGTCGTCCGTTTATGTGTTAGTTTGTATATTACAGTTCAAAGTTTTCGTAGATCTAATTACTGCATCACTTGAATGCAATAAATAGCTTTTAATTAGTTTAACAACACAGCATTTTGGACATGATCACTTGGTCGGGCTGTCGCTCGAGTTGCCCTTCTCCGGCTCGTCGCCAGTCAGTCTCCTCAGCGCGTATTTGGCAAACTGCAAAGTAGTATTATATGTAAATATATTTAGCTGCACTTTAATCAATCAGTTTTTCGCACGCACCGTAATTGGAGGCAAATCAATTTGTTCCTCAACTGTAACCAGTTTGCGATTCTCCTGCAATATCTTCCAACCAAGGTGTACGGCAATCAGGGTGGGTATCATCACTACGGCGACTATGTTGCGTGAGAAAAACGATTGTTTTTGTGGTGCCGGCATCTTTATTAACAATTTATGACAGGATCAGAATTATTGTTTTTATTATTTAACATGTTTGTTTATAGCGATAACATCGATAATGTGCATGTTTTCGATTAATTTGCTAATGTGCTAAAAAATACCCACATTTTGCTAGCAAGATGGCAACGCTGCTCGTTTGGCGCCAGAAATTGAAGCATATCAAAAGAGTCTGCAATTAAAATTATAACTTCCCATATTGAATTGGCTTGGCAAAGGTTGCCTTTTTTGGCTTATAAGCAAGTCTAGGCATAATCAAAAGACTCAAACTTAGGGTATACATACTTAAGCATAAACAGTGTGGTCTGGCAGTTATTTTATGAACAAAATATTCAAGGTCTAATGATTAATGCATCTAGACTTTTATTTGCATAAGCTTAAATGCAAATTTTCGGCACCAGACGGCTCATGCCACTAGCTGCTATAAACTTTTTTTATCAAGATATCTGGATCAACCTCGGCAGCTTAAATGTGCATTTCTGTGCAATTACAAAAAGTTTTGAGTGTATTACAAGAATCGGTGTTTTTTCTAGCTAATTGTTGTTTACCTACAAAGTTACCTTTGACTAAATTGTTGGCAGCTGCTGCTGAGCGCATAGATTTTACCTGTGTGTAGACAGCCAAGTGTCTTTGTTCCCAGCAACTCTCCCCACTCTATACCTCTCTCTCGCTCTCTCTCTCTCTCTCTCTCTCTCTCTCTGTCTCTCTCTTTCCCACAGCATAGAACGCGCGAATAATGGCATTTGTGTGAGCAAAGTACGTTGTGTTCAGCGTGTGGGCAGATGTCCAGTGCAGGGAGTTTGTCTTCGGCGTGTCTCAGCTGCTGTCTGTGAACCTTGCACACAACAACAACAACAACAAGAAGAAGAAGAGCAATATCAATACAAATACAAATAAATAAACGAAACGCTGAAGCGAGCAGCCAGCGTCACTTGCGCTGCCTCCGTTGAGAGTCAGTTTCGACAGCACTCGCAGGCTATTCACAACAAAGCAAGCGTAAAAAACAGTTATTGCGATTATTAATGAGTTTGGAAAAACGAAACGAAACGAAACGGGAAAGAAAATTCCAGTTGTTTAAGAGAAGTTAGTTGTTAGTTAGGGTTTTGTGTTTCGCTGTCTTACGAGTGCTCCTTTCACATTCTTTGTTGCTTTTTATTTGCATGTTCGTTTCCATTCGATCCCCATTACCATTCCCATTTGTTCCACGTACCGGGCGCTATGTGACCCAGTGACGCGTGTGTTAAAATCGATAGTCGCCTTTGTGCGCCTCCACCTGGAAAGTGTCCTGCTCGACGGGTAAGTGGACTAAGTGCTCGGGTTTGTCGCCTGGCTCAAGGCGCTCACTGTAACCTGCTTATTGCTGCTGGTTGGCTCTTTGGTTCGCTGTGGCGCATTTATGCCTGGATGCATAAAGACACAGATGAACGCTATCCAGCCGACAATATTGACAACCAGGGCCAGCATTACGCCGTAGAACAGGATGATAACTATTTTCTCTCGTCGCGTACGTTCGGCCCATGGCACATGATCCCGTTGGAACTGTGTGGCAGTTGGACTCTTTTAACAACACTCGCTCGCTCGCTCTCTCTCTCTCTTTCTCTCTCTCTCTTTCTTACTCTCTTACCGGCATGTCAAGTCGGGCAGCTAGAGCGACAGGCAAATTGTGGCCCATTTGAAAAATTTTACTTTTACAGAATAAAATTTGTAGCTAAATAAAAATTTGAGGTTTACGTTGACACTGTTTGAAATCGCATATTCTTTAGATAGACAGACACTCTATATATTATACATGGTTCCATATTATTTCTCATCAAACCATTAAAGAGTTTGAATCTCTTTTATCTTTTTTTTCTGCTCTTAAATACATCCATTAAAAGCTGTCAGACTTGATAAACTGAGAGCATGAACAGATTCCAGCTCAGGCGAGATTTGGGAGTTTTACTCATTATATACTGTTCAGAACATGATCTTCAGTTCTACCTACATATATAGTATTTATAACATTTTATAGAATTTTCTGGATTAAAGATATGACATTTTCAAGAACATCAGAATAGATTTAAGTTTAATAAAATTTCCTATGATTCAACATTTAGAGGTTAGTTCCATTTTAATAAAGATAAGGTATGTACATAAGTAGTTAGACTAGGATTGAAATAACTCAGCTCTTAAGCTTTCTGCAGATTTAATACTCTGAATGAGCAGAATTTCGGATTGTTACGGAAATGATATAGGAGTATGCTGTTGATTGTAAACCTCGTAGTTCTCGAGTATTATTCAAATTTTCTGAAATCAAAAAGGTTTTTCACATAAAAACCTTAGGCTAACGGGGCTGAACGCAGAAAGTTTTGTAAACATAAAGCTACTGATACCGTTAATAACCGCAGCAAGGATAATAACAGAAATGTTAAATGTTAAATGAGAAGTACAGTTAAATGATAACAAATGTTATAGAGTATAAAAGTTATATAACGATATGATCACATGCTCAGAGCATCTTTCACTGTATGATACGCTGCTCGCGAAGTTCGGCAATCCGATCGGCTCCATAGCCCAGCAGCTTGGCCAGCACCTCGTCCGTGTGCTCGCCCAGCATGGGGGGCGCGGTGCGGGCATCGTTGCGTGCTTCACTGTAGACGACCGGCGGGCCGACAACCTTGACGCTGCCGTCGCGCGCATGTGGCAGCTTCTTGACCAGTCCAATGGCCTGGATGTGCTCATCCTCGAACACCTCGCGTATGCTGTTGACGGGGCCCACCACGAAGCTGGCGCCCTCGAATCGATGCATCCAGTTCTTGGAGGTGTCTCGCGCTAGTATCTGGGCCAGCAGGCCGACCAGCTCTTCACGATGCTGCACGCGATCCTTGTTGCTCTTGAATTTGGCATCCTGCGACACCTGCTCAATGTTCAGCCGGCGGCATAGCTCCACAAACTGGGCATCGCTGCCGGCGCCCAGGGTCAGGTAGCCATCGGCTGTCTTGAAGCTCTGGTAGGGCACAATGCTGGAGTGGGCGGTGCCCCAGCGCTGGGCCTCGGTGCCGGCATTCAAGTAGTTGCTGGCCACGTTGATGAGCAGCGAGCAGCACGTGGACAGTAGATCCACATCAATCTTTTGGCCGCGCTGGGTGCGCTCCCGTTGCAGCAGCGCGGCCAGAATGGCGCCGTGCGCATACAGACCCGTGGCCACATCTGTAACGGCCACGCCCACCTTGCTGGGCGGCCCATCACGTTCGCCCGTAATGTGCAGCAGCCCGCCCATGGAGGAGGCTATCACATCATAGCCCGGCCGCTTGGCGTAGGGTCCCACAGAGCCATAGCCACTGATGGTGCAGTAGATCAGCCGCGGATTCACTTGACGCAGCTGCTCATAGCCCAGACCGTAGCGTTCCAGTGTGCCGGGCACATAGTTCTCCACCAGCACATCGCACTTGCCGGCCAGCTGATGCATCAGCTTCCTGCCGCGCTTCATGTCAATGCACACGCTCTGCTTGTTGCGATTTTGGGCCAGAAAATACGCCGCATCGCCGCTTTGCTCCAGAAACGGTGGCCCCCATTTGCGTGCCTCGTCCCCGAAATGCGGACGCTCCACCTTGATCACCTCGGCGCCCAGGTCGGCCAGCACCATGGTGCAATACGGGCCGGCCACAATGCGCGTGAGATCCAGAATGCGCACGCCACGCAGCGGATGACGCTCATCCACGGCAGACGCGTCAAGGTTAACATTGTTGTTGTTGTTCTCGCTGGCAGCTGCAAAGCTTCGCAAGCTTTGACGCGCAGCAGCGGCTGCGCGTGAGAGACGCAAACGTTGTAACCACATAGATAACGGCAGAGACTGTCTGTTTATTTTCCAATCAATTGCTGTTTGCTTTTCTATTTACTGTCACTTTTCCAGTTGTTGCTGCTGCTGTTCTTGTTCTTGTTGTTGTTGTTGTTGTTGTTGTTCTTGCTTAGGGCTGCGCGCGTATGCTTAATGGAAAGTTTTCCAAACAACTGCTGATCAGCCACTGAACCAAGCACACAAGACAAGTGAGAGCTTTCTTTGAACAGCGCCCACTATTTGCTCTCTCTCACTCTCGCTCTCGCTCTTTTCAGATACGTTCTTGCATAGCTATGTAAACATACGATAGCAGCATGTTAAACGTTATCTATGGCATTAACTAAGCTTGGCATTTATTAGCTCTTTCTCTCTCTCTCTCTCTTTCGTACTCACTCTCTTAGTGCTGAGGCAGAGTACATTGGCCTTTATTGCAAGCTGCTGGAATGTTACCCAGTTATTCCCAATAATTCAACCAACAATTTTAATTCCTTCCGCTCCATTAGCATTAACCTTGATGGTTTCCCGTTCTGCTCCAAAATAAATAAAACCTGCTTTGTGTTTTTATACCCTGAGCCCATTAAAAATGGCTATAAAGGTATATTGTATTTGTGCAAAATCCAAATGTATGTAACAGGCAGAAGGAAGCATCTCCGACCCCATAAAGTGTATATATTCTTGATCAGCATCAATAGCCGAGTCGATCTAGCCATGTCCGTCTGTCCGTCCGTCCGTCCGTCCGTCCGTCCGTCCGTATGTATGAGCCAAAGGATCTCAGAACCTATAAGATAATCGATAACTTTGGTAAATAATAAGAGCTAGAGTCACCAAACTAGACATATAGTTTCTAAAATAGAATATATATATGCATTTGATGTTGGAAGAGGGTTCAGGGTATCCCGTAGTCGGGAGCTCCCGACTAGAACCTCCTACTTGTTTTCCCATCAAATAACGCTGGCTCCAAAGGGCACAAGTCCTACACAACTCAAAATGAATGTTATTTTTGCGTGTGATCCCAAGTTTAAAGACTGTAATTTGAACCTCTAGACAGGCTGGGATTCTAGCACATCCCCCTAAGTACTTTAATTATATTTTGTTGTTCATAAGCAACGCTCTTAATTAGCCGGCTCAAAGCTGAGCTCGCTAATGGTTGCGCAATTAAAAAACCATTTTTATCTCGTAGACAGCTAAATGACAAAAATTGAAGTGTTTACAAAACCAAAGAAAAACGCAAAATACC